AGAGCAGCCTTGTTAACCTTTTTAAACACAGAGGAACCCTTGAAATAATTTTTCAATCTTGAGAAACCTCTGCTAAAAACGAGTATATGTACAACTCATGGTACATTAGTGTGATGGTCAGTGGGAAGAATGCTCCTTATACTTGTGGTGGTCATTGAGAAGATTTACATAAATATATATATATATATATATATATATATATATATATATATATATATATATATAAAAATATATTGAATACAGCCAAAATTGTAGCATTTCAAATATGTCAGTATATTTGGGAAGAATATTTTAAAAATATATTTTATATATATATATTTATTGAATACGGCCAAAATTGTAGCATTTCAAATATATGTCGGTATATTTGGGAAGAATATTTTAAAAATATATTTTTTATATATATATATATATATATATATTTATTGAAATTTATTGAATAAGGCCAAAATTGTAGCATTTCAAATATATGTCAGTATATTTGGGAAGAATGTTTTAAAAAAAAAATATATATATATATATATATATATATTTATTGATATAAGGCCAAAATTGTAGCATTTCAAATATGTCAGTATATTTGGGAAGAATATTTTAAAAATATATATTTATATATTATATATATATATATATATATATATATATATATATATATATATATATATATATATATATTGAAATTTATTGAATAAGGCCAAAATTGTAGCATTTCAAATATGTCAGTATATTTGGGAAGAATATTTTAAAAATATATTTTTATATATATATATATATATATATATATATATATATATTGAAATTTATTGAATAAGGCCAAAATTGTAGCATTTCAAATATATGTCAGTATATTTGGGAAGAATATCTTAAGAATATATTTTTATATATATATATATATATATTTATTGAAATCTATTGAATACGGCCAAAATTGTAGCATTTCATATATACGTCAATGTATTTGGGAAAAAATATTTTTAAAATATAATTCAAATATATTTTTCTTCCATATGGGCTAACTCACACTGCTGCAGCTTCAGGTGCGACATGCGATTTACAAATTGCACCTGAAGTCACATCTAATGTATTTTTATGGCGTGGTCTTAATAGTTGCGATTTTGAAAAAATAGTTCCTGCATTACTTTTTCGCCACTTCAATGCGATATAACTCTCATAGACTATAATGTAAATGGCGCTGAAATCTCACACGTGTCTATATAAGCGGTACTTTGAAATAATTCTTTAAATGGGACCAAATCGCACCACTTTGAAATTGTATCCGGCGTGAACCAGAGCTTAGCCTTTTTACTATAGAAATAAATCAATTTCAAAGCATAAGACCACCGCCAGCTTCCATCATATTTCCATCCTGACGCATCCCCTGTAAACGACTTCATATATAAAGGAATGGGGGGGGGTTTGTTCTGATTTTTTATTTTTTTTGAATAATTGATGAGTTTGGGGTTACTTTTATGTGTAATTGACTAATCAGCATTGCCCACAACAAGTTCATTATTGTGCATTCAACATCAAACGTTTAAACAAGAGCTCTTTATCTGCTCCCCTACCCGCACACAAGCTGCATGCCTCTCATTGTTCCATAAATAATACCGGAGCAGTATATAAATCCTTTCCAAGGATTCCAGTCCTACAATGCGCCGGAATAATAAAAGGAAATTCTTCTCATGTTAGAAGTAAAGCCTCCGCTTTTCCTGGAATTGCACATTAGATTTTCGTTGAACGATCAGGCTCTCTGCTCTGAACCGAGGTTTGTTATCCGTTCAGCTGGCGGTCCCATGCACAGAACCTTTCTACACAGCTAGCTAGCAGAAGCCTTTGACGCCGCTGGTTAAACAACACCGTGCTGAGGATGGGGATATTTGCATGGAAGCCGGATCACCTGTTGACCTTTAGGGCTCATGTACACTGCAGCTGATAAACTGACGTTTAGGAGCTTTTCTGCGTTTTTTTTTCAGCAGCCCCTGAGCTCTCCCTAATGTTTTCCTATGTGTCCATGTACACATCGCCGTTTACAGTCGTTCTTTTTTAACGCAGAAAACTTGCGTTCAGCAGTCGATTTTATCAAAATTTCAAACGCAAAGTGCTTGTAAACGTGGCAAATCGCGTTTATAAGCGTTTGCGTCTGAAATTTTTTTTTAACTCTTCCAGTTCCCGATGCTGTCAAGCCTTTTTTTCCATCATGAAAAATGCATGCAAAGCGTTTTCAAGGTACTCAGATGGACAAAACACTGAACACAGGATGTTTCTACCAAGCTTGTCACACATTGTAATGACCAATTCACACCTCAGACCTCTCCCACCCTTGGAAACAAAAGATATGTTAATGACCAGTCACACCTCAGACCTCTCCCACCCTTGGAAACAAACGATATGTTAATGACCAGACCTACCTCTCCCACCCTTGGAAACAAAAGATATGTTAATGACCATTCACACCTCAGACCTCTCCCACCCTTGGAAACAAAAGATATGTATATGACCATTCACACCTCAAATTCCTCATGAAGACCCCCTGCCAGGTGGCCTTAATGACTCCCTCCACCAGACACCTTTCCCACCCTTGGAAACCAAAGAAATATTAATGAGCAACTCATACCTAGCTAATCTCAACACATACTGCTGTCTCTGCTTCTACTCTCTGTATTTCTCTGAATAGTTTATAATTTACCACTTTTCAGTGCATTCTGAGCATTGGGAGGTTCCCTGTGCTTACCTTTAGAAACGCTTCTAAACACAAAAACATAAACGCGCATGTTTTAACCTACGTTTTCCAGCATTCAGTTTCCTTCGTTCAGAAGTGTCCCGTGTACATGGGGTCTTACACTGCTAAAGAATATCAAATAGTGCAGTGCTTACACCTGGTGTATATGAGCAAACCGGTAAGTGAGGTCATAAAAAACTTGTGTCCCTTTAATTGTACTTAGTGGTAAATGGGTAGGATTATCCCTTGTTCCTTGGGATGTTCCCTCTTCCCAGCAGGGGGTCTCCTCACTTCCTTGTGGATTTTCCTGGAGCCAAATGGATGGATGGAAATATATCCTCTTCCCACTAGGGGGCCTTCTTGCTTCCTTAGGGATTCCTCTCCATAGGTGTAATAGCCGTGAAATGTAATAAAAGAATATAGTGCCTTATCCTCTTTAAAATGAATTTATTAAATAAAGTGGTGCACTCACATGTGTAACAAGTTAAAAATGCTTTAAAATGTTGGAATTTAAATCCACAGTATAGTTTTTCAATGTTGCTGAGTACTTGCTGTATATTGCTTTAAGCGTTGTGACATCAGAGCCCCTCCCCTACGCGTTACACCACCGGGTCACGTGGCTGCTGATAGAATAGAGCCTTCGGGGGCAAGCTGCACATGCTCAGTTTGATGTTTATTGCTAGAGAGTTTCTCTTTTTCTTGGGAGAGTGCATGTAATCAGCACAGGGCCAATCAGCACTGTCCAGGCAGAGGGTCAGGGGTTATACAGCCTCATAGGGACAATCAGGGAAGAATGAAAACTCTTCCTACAAGCTTCAACCAGTGCACAGCTGGACTCTGATAGAAGTCAGAAGACTGCTATATACTGCTGATTCTCCACATGTTTTAAAACAGGTTCCTTGACCCTAGGAGAGCTAGGACGCATTTCACCTCTGTAACCAAGCCCCCAATGGGGGGCGAAACGTATCAGTGGGTGTGGCTAGTTCGGTGCTGTGGCCACTTTACACACACTCATCATGCTTGATTCTAGGGGTTAGTTCCGAGTGGCTTCTGCTTCAGCATCCTTATGAATGGGAGTTTACACTTACTACACTCTTTGGCTTACGTTTCCCATACTTTTAACTGAGTACCACCCTTAAATTTATCTCTCTCTCATGGGTTTCAATCTCCGCCCCCCCCCCCCCCTTTTTTTTTTCTCTCTCTCCTTGTCTCTGCACATCAGGAGTGCCACTGGTTCACCTCCATATATGACCTCCAGGCTTCTTATGAGGTCAAATAAGCGTTCTTCTCTTAAAGGGTAACTCACGATGGTCTTCTCTCCACTTTATATTCTCCACCATTCCTCCTCTATGCACTATATCAAGCAAATACACATAGAACAGAAACAGAAATAGAACTCATACTTTGAGATAGCAGGAGTATAAAAAACATTCACAAAGTAAAGTAGAATAACGCTCTAAAACCACGTACTATACAGCACAGTCCTGGGTAGTCCTGCTCACCACAGACTCCGATGTAATAAAAGTTTTGACTTTAGATACTTTATCCTTTTGCTGCCATCGTCTCTTAGCCCTTTAAGAGGATCTAAATGCCAGGAGGTTGAAGCGGGCTTTGCGATCATGTGACTGCTGTGGTTGGCTGTCATAGAGTTGGTAGTTCCTGAATGCAAGTAAGCATCTGGAGCCACCCGTGACATCAGCACAGAAAAGCCATTCTCCTTGTGTGGTAACTTGGCATCAAAGCAGCTCTTCAGTCTTTTTTCCAAAAATTATTATTATTATTATACAGGATTTATGGCGCCAACAGTTTGCTCAGCGCGTTACAATATTACGGGAGACAATACAGCAAAAATACAGTTCAATACAAGAGGGTTAGGAGGGCCCTGATCCTGGGAGCTTACAATCTAAGAGGGAGGGGTTGATGGTACAAAAGGTAGTAACTGTGAGGGATGGACTGGTATGAGGAGTAGAAGATTCCATTATTAGCTGAGGGCGGGATAGGCTTCCCTGAAGAGAGAGGTTTTCAGAGATCGCCTAAAAGTGAGCAGAGTAGGAGATAGTCTGATAAATTTGGGTAGAGAGTTCCAGAGGATGGGGGAAGCTCTGGATAAGTCCTGGAGACTAGCATGGGGGAGGAGGAGACGAGGGAGCTAGAGAGCAGGAGGTCGTGCGAGGAGCAGAGAGTACGGTTTGGGTGATATTTGGAAATAAGTTTGGAGATGTAATTAGGGGCGGAGTTATAAATGGCTTTTTATGTTATTGTTAATGTTTTGAATTTTATCTGTTGGACAATGGGAAGCCAGTGGAGGGATTGGCAGAGAGGGGTGGAGGACACTGAGTGGAGGGATTGGCAGACAGGGATGGAGGACATTGAGTGGAGGCCAGTGGAGGGGTTGGCAGAGAGGGATGGAGGACACTGAATGGAGGCCAGTGGAGGGATTGGCAGAGAGGGGTGGAGGACACTGAGTGGAGGTCAGTGGAGGGATTGGCAGAGAGGGATGGAGGACACTGAGTGGAGGGATTGGCAGAGAGGGGTGGAGGACACTGAGTGGAGGTCAGTGGAGGGATTGGCAGAGAGGGGTGGCAGATACAGAATGGGTTAGTAAGGTGGAAGAGTCTGGCAGCAGCATTCATGATAGACTGGAGTTGGGGATAGCCTGCGATGAGGTCGGCCAATGAGGAGGGAGTTACAATAGTCAAGGCGAGAGATAACCAGGGAGTGAATAAGTTGCTTAGTAGTTTCCGAGGTTAAAAACGTCCGTATCTTGGAGATGTTAATTGTTTAATGAAATTAAACAAATACTGACACTTACCGGTCCAAGGACCCAGTGCCGTCCTCACCTGGCCAGTTCTTTGCCAGTCTTCGAGTCCCCGGTGCCGGCATCTTTAATGTGGGAAGCCAGCTGTTACTTCTTGTGGCTTCACAGCTGGCTTCCTACGTGAGCCGCACTGCGCTGTGTGAATGGTCCCGCAGCCTCTTGGGACCTGTGACTTATCCCAAGAGGTTGCAGGCGGTGGGGAGGCCAAACTTACAGGGGAATCGTCACAGCGATTCCAGCATCCCCTTCCTCTTGCCTGTCTTAATTTTTTCTTTTTGTCTTTTTTTTTTTTCTTTTTCTTCTCTTTATAGCTTCTTCCTTCTAACTGCAATATTGTTACTTTTTCTAGGAAATTGTAGTGGATAGATGCACTCTTGTATCTCTAAAGAATTATGATTTATAAGACCATTAAAAAGAAATGCAGTCTATGGTCTGTGGAGTAGCAGCACTGAGCTATCTGAGCCTGAGATGGTATTGTGGTAATGACATTCTGGAGAAATACCTGATCCCTTCTCGGAGATAAACATCTCCTTTCACAAGCGCCTACTGTCCTCTCCGTACAATCATAATTACCCACAGCTGTGTAATGAGCTTTAATTGAAGAGCCTCTCCGGTTGGGGATGAGAGGCAGGATGTGATGTGTAATGGCTCTGTGCAGATGGGATCCATCACTTAACACTCGAAAAAACTGAGGGGGAAAAAAAAAGTTTTAGGACTCAAAGTGTATTTGTAGTCAATTTTTGAATTCATGGATGGTGGGGCTTAGAACCCCGTTCGTATTTTTATTGCTTACGGGAAAGAAGCACGATGCTGGTTCCCCAAGGTGGTCTTGATTCACTCTTTAAATGTGGTGGCTGCTTTGGTTTTCTTTTTTATTTTACACTTTTTTTTTCTTTTCCCCTGGTGATCCTGCCAATCGCACACATGATAAGTGAGGTGAGGGGGAGTGCATGCTGCTCAGAACCAACCTCTGGAGTCAAGCTTGTTAGGTGTGTGTAAAGTAGCCTCTGCGCTGTGCTAGCCACACCAATGACGCATTTCACCTCTAAACAAGCCCCCAATGGGTGGGGCGAAACGCATCAGTGGGCGTGGCTAGTTCGGTGCTGAGGCCACTTTACACACACTCATCATGCTTGATTCTAGGGGTTTGTTCCGAGTGGCTTCTGGCTTCTCATCGCCTCACTGAAGATAGTGGAACAAACCTGGGGACACTACTCCCTTCATTCCTCTGCCGGGGGGGGGGGGGGGTAGGGGTGTGTGTGATTCCTCTCTTTCAATCCGGCTTCAGAGCAGCACCCCTAAGCCTCACACATGGTCTACACAAAAATGATAACATTTATTCTCCTTACTGTATCCGGACAGAATAAAACAGCATAGGACTACGGAACCTCTGTTTCCTTTCATCAGGGTTCGGCACCATTTTTTTTTTTCTTAAGCCATTAACTATCAAGGTCTAACTAAATAGTAAGGAAAATGTAGAAAAATATATTAAAACAAATGTCACTGTAAAAAAATATAAACTTAGCATACCTTAAAAATAGGCGGTGTCAGTAGGGCAGAGGTCAGTGGATGGTGGTGTAGATAGTGTCAGTAGACCAATGAACAGTGTGTAGACTGTGTCAGTAGGGCAGTGGACAGTGTCAGTAGGCAGAGGTCGGTGTTAGTAAGGCAGTGGGTAGATATTGTCAGCAGAGGTTGGTGTCAATAGACCAATGAACAGTGTGTAGACGGTGTCAGTATAGCAGTAGACAGTGCAGTTGGGGCAGAGGTTGGTGTCAGTAGAGCAGAGGACGGTGTCAGTAAAGAAGTGGATGGTGTATAGACAGTGTCAGTAGAGCAGAGGACGGTGTCAGTAGAGCAGTGGACGGTGTATAGACAGTGTCAGTAGAGCAGAGGACGGTGTCAGTAGAGCAGTGGATGGTGTATAGACAGTGTCAGTAGAGCAGAGGACGGTGTCAGTAGAGCAGTGGATGGTGTATAGACAGTGTCAGTAGAGCAGAGGACGGTGTCAGTAGAGCAGTGGACAGTCAGTAGGCAGAGGACGGTGTCAGTAGATAGATAGTGTCAGTCAGAGCAGAGGAAAGTGTCAGTAGAGCAGAGGACGGTGTCAGTAGAGCAGTGGACGGTGTATAGACAGTGTCAGTAGAGCAGAGGAAGGTGTCAGTAAAGCAGTGGACAGGGTATAGATAGTGTCAGTAGAGCAGAGGACGGTGTCAGTAAAGCAGTGGACAGGGTATAGACAGTGTCAGTGAAGCAGTGGACGGTGCATAGACAGTGTCAGTAGAGCAGAGGACAGTGTCAGTAAAGCAGTGGACGGTGTATAGACAGTGTCAGTAAAGCAGTGGACGGTGTATAGACAGTGTCAGTAGAACAGTGGACAAAACCATATGGCAGAGGATGGTGTCAGTAGAGCAGGTGTCAGTAGAGCAGGACGGTGTCAGTAGAGCAGTGGATGAGACCGTAGGGCAGAGGAGGGCAGAGGGTGTCAGTAGAGCAGTGGACGAGACCGTAGGGCAGAGAATGGTGTCAGTAGAGCAGAGGACGAGACCGTAGGGCAGAGGTTGGTGTCAGTAGAGCAGTGGATGAGACCGTAGGGCAGAGGATGGTCTCAGTAGAGCAGTGGATGAGACCGTAGGGCAGAGGATGGTGTCAGTAGAGCAGTGGACGAGACCGTAGGGCAGAGAATGGTGTCAGTAGAGCAGCAGTGGACGAGACCGTAGGGCAGAGGTTGGTGTCAGTAGAGCAGTGGATGAGACCGTAGGGCAGAGGATGGTGTCAGTAGAGCAGTGGACGAGACCGTAGGGCAGAGGTTGGTGTCGGTAGAGCAGTGGATGAGACCGTAGGGCAGAGGATGGTGTCAGTAGAACAGTGGATGAGACCGTAGGGCAGAGGTTGGTGTCAGTAGAGCAGTGGATGAGACCGTAGGGCAGAGGATGGTGTCAGTAGAGCAGTGGACGAGACCCGTAGGGCAGAGGATGGTGTCAGTAGAGCAGTGTACTATTTTTTGCAATTTCTTTTTTTACAATATTTTTTTACAATTTTCTTTAGGAGCCCTGTTGAGGGGCTTTGGTGAATAATGAGGGGTCTAAACAGAACCCTGATAATCTCACTTTTGAGACAAAGGGACAGACGACACAGGTTTTTCGTTTTTAACTTATCAAACAGCTATAATAAAATAATTGTATACAATGTATTTAGCAGACGGAAAAGTAGAAAATGTTACATTTTGTGTTTTGGGGATTTCGATGTGCTTTCAGTAAGATTGGCTGTATGTGCTGCCTGTACTGGAGCTGGCCACGGTGCTGAACTTTACCTGATCGTCTATTGCTGATCTGCATTGCATGGTGTGCACAAACTCGGGGTAATGTAATGGAGCTGACCGAGGTGCTGAACTATTCAAGTGATACTTAAAGTGCTGCTAAACCCACAACAGTACAATCAGTCTGTAGATGCAGTAAAGCATGCTTGTTATACTCACTGTGGAACCTAAGGGGTTAATCCTCTGCATTGTATAAAAAGGTTGTTTGATCCTTTCTTCTCTGCTCCTCCTCTTGTTCAAATGTCTACATCTTATCTCCTGATAAGAAAGACTGCACCCCTAGCCATTCTACACATGCTCAGTTTAGTGTGTATTACTAGAGAGGTTTTTTGTTTTCTTTGGCCCTGTGCTGATCACATGCACTCTCCAATCAGCATTGTCCAGACAGAGGTCAGGGGTTTTGCATCCTCCTAGAGCAGAAAGAAAACTCCTCCTATAAGCTTTAACTAGTTCTCTGCAGGACACTGATAGAAGTCACATGACTGCTATATACTGCTGATGAGAAAAGGTATTTAGCAGTTTATATTTACTAAAATAATTGCATTTCCATGTTCTGTGTACTGTGGGAGACCGGATATAGTGAATGCAGGGTCTGGGGAGAGCAGATATAGTGAATGCAGGGTCCGGGGAGAGCGGATATAGTGAATGCAGGGTCCGGGGAGAGCGGATATAGTGAATGCGGGGTCCGGGGAGAGCGGATATAGTGAATGCGGGTCCGGGGAGAGCGGATATAGTGAATGCGGGGTTCGGGGAGAGCGGATATAGTGAATGCGGGGTCCGGGGAGAGCGGATATAGTGAATGCGGGGTCCGGGGAGAGCGGATATAGTGAATGCGGGGTCGAGGGAGAGCAGATATAGTGAATGTGGGGTCCGGGGAGAGCGGATATAGTGAATGCGGGGTCCGAGGAGAGTGGCTATAGTAAATGCGGGGTCTGAGGAGAGCGGATATAGTGAATGCAGGGTCCGGGGAGACAGAATATAGTGAATGCGGGGTCCATGGAGAGCGGATATAGTGAATGCAGGGTCCGGGGAGAGCGGATATAGTGAATGCGGGGTCCGGGGAGACCGGATATAGTGAATGCGGGGTCCGGGGAAAGCAGATATAGTGAATGCGGGGTCCGAGGAGAGCGGATATAGTGAATGCGGGGTCCGGGGGAGAAGGGATATAGTGAATGCGGAGTCCGGGGAGACCGGATATAGTGCATGCAGGGTCCGGGGAGAGCGGATATAGTGAATGCAGGGTCCGTGGGAGAGCGGATATAGTGAATGCGGGGTGCGGGGTCCGGGGAGAGCGGATATAGTGAATGCAGGGTCCGGGGGAGAGCGGATATAGTGAATGCAGGGTCCTGGGTTTAGTAACACTTTAAGGCCCTGCATCTGTTGCCAATCTACAGGTCCCATCATGCCTCTGCCTTTGGGAGTCATGCTTGTAATTGTCAATCTTGCAATGCCTCATGGGACTTGTAGTTTGGCAACAGCCGGAGGGTCGCCAGTTTGACACCCGTGTGCTAAACTGTTACCTGACTGTCTAGTGTTCTCTGCATTGCACATTCTACACAAACTCAGGGCCAATACAATGCATCTGGCCCAGGTGCGGAATTGTTAGTGTCGTGCGTTGATCTGCATTGCACATTCTACACAAACCCGGGGCCAATGTACAGCTAATTGTCTTTTTTAATTAGAAAACCTGGAGGAGGTCACAGCTCTAACCTGAGAGCGTATGATTGCTAATCTGCCAGCCTTACCTTGATTGCAGCGGCTCCCAGGGCTCGCCGCTTCCATCTCTCTCTTTACAGCCTCTCTCTGCAGGTTATGTTGTTATAACCGATCCTTCCAGTGAAATGTATCTGTAGGAGACGATTTCATGTTTCCCGCTGGGGGCCTGCGTCAGAAGCCTTTGCAGATTATCTTTCCCAGAGCTCCACTCTTCAGACACTTTAAAGCTCAACTCCAGGCAAGCAGATAAGTACACAGCAGAAATACTTCTGTATTAACTGTTCTAACCGAGAGAAGATTTGTGGTTCTGTATAGCTGAGTCTTGTGATCCAGCCATACCTACCAGGCAGCACAGCTGGGTCCTGGACCTCCACTGCAGTTAATCAGTACTGATTGTCAGCACTGTACCCTCACTGCTCTTCCCACCTGTAATCAAGGTCCGGTTAGGGTTGCCATCTCATCCCTTTAAAACCGAACACAGAAAGTCGTCACAGCGCTTAAAACGGATTAAATTCATTTGTTTCCTCAACATTCTACCAACAATAACCCATAATGACAACGTTCGTTTTGAAATGTTTGCAATTTATTAAAATTAAAAAACGAAAACGAACCCACATGTAGATAAGTATTCCCAGCCTTTGCTCAATCCTTTGTTGAAGCCCCTTTAGCACCAATTCCAGCCTCAAGTCATTTGGAGTATGATGCTACAAGCTTGGCACACCTGTATTTGGCCGATTTCCCCCATTCTTCTTGCAGGACCTCTCAAGCTCCATCAGGTTGGATAGGAAGCGTCGGTGCACAGCTATTTTCACATCTCTCCAGAGATGTTCAAGCGGGTTCAAGTCTGGGCTCTGGTTGGGTCACTCCAGGACATTCCCAGAGTCGGCCTGTAGCCACTCCTTTGTGATGTGGGCTGTGTGCTCAGGGTCGTTGCCCTATTGAAAGACGAACCATCGCCCCAGTCTAAGGTCCAGAGTGCTCTGGAACAGGTTTTTTTCATGAAGGATGTCTCTGTACATTGCTGCACTCATCTTTCCTTCGATCCTGACTAGTCTCCCAGTTCTCCTTCTATCCTGACAAGTGCTCCAGTCCCAGCCTTTGCTCAATACTTTGTTGAAGCCCCTTTAGCACCAATTCCAGCCTCAAGTCGTTTGGAGTATGATGCTACAAGCTTGGCACACCTGTATTTGGCCGATTTCTCCCATTCTTCTTGCAGGACCTCTCAAGCTCCATCAGGTTGGATAGGAAGCGTCCGTGCACAGCTATTTTCAGATCTCTCCAGAGATGTTTAATCAGGTTCAAGTCTGGGCTCTGGTTGGTCCACTCCAGGACATTCCCAGAGTTGGCCCGTAGCCACTCCTTTGTGATGTGGGCTGTGTGCTTAGGGTCGTTGCCCTATTGAAAGACGAACCGTCGCCCCAGTCTAAGGTCCAGAGTGCTCTGGAACAGGTTTTTTTTCATCAAGGATGTCTCTGTACTCATCTTTCCTTCGATCCTGACTAGTCTCCCAGGTCTCCTTCTATCCTGGCAAGTGCTCCAGTCCCTGCTGCAGAGAAACCCCCCATAACAAGATATTCCCACCCCAATAACAGTATATTCCCACCCCCATAACAGGATATTCCCACCTCAATGCTTTATTGTGGGGGTGGTGGTATTTTGATGGTGAGCTGGATTGGATTTAAGCCAGACATATCATTTAGTATGGAGGCCAAATCATTCCATTTTAGTCTCATCTGACCATAACACCTTTTTCCATGCGTTCTCAGAATCTTCAAGATGCGTTTTGGCAAAGCTCAGTGGTAACTGCATGTGGCTTTTATTGAGGAGCTACTGTTTTTTTTTTTTTTTATTTTGCAACCCTCCCATACAAGCCACATTTGTGA